TGGAAGTACTAAATATATGTCTAAAAGTGCTTTTTCACTTTTGGTGTTCCTTTAACAGTGGACCGCACAGCATATTCGACGTCACATAGACCTGCACTAGAGCTGCAGGTAGAAGAAAAGTATATCCCTGTTTACATGGAAGTCTACCTGAAAACTTGCATGGCAGCCTGACGCTAATTGTGCATTTCCCATCAGAAGCACAGTTCTGACTTGGGCAGCTTTGGCAATGAGCACTCTGTATGAACACTTCGATTGGCAAGGGATTGGTCACACTCTAAGAGAGAATGCCTAGCTGCAGTTATAGTGATAAAAAAGAGGCTCGCGTTCTGATCGCGCCAAGGTTCTGCTTCACTGAATGCATTCTCGAAGACCTCAGTCTGCTGAAGAAGAAATCTCCTTTAAAATAGCAGAAAAAGCAATTGGTACAACTTTTAAGAGCTCTTTTTAGGGATTTCGAAGCCCTAAAACAGAGCCACACAACTGAAAACTGTCTTCTAGCAGTGTGTGTTGATATTTGTGCGTTTAGGCTACGCCATTTGAGCATAGGGTTTCAGAAGACATACAGGTATTATAGGCTACAGGGCACCATCTATGGCATTTTCGTACACGTTTCAAGGTACCAGCATAGGTATCCGCTGTAGCACCCTAATACTCATCAATAGGTAGGAAACTGGTACCAATGTAACAGCTTAGCTAAACCCTGATAGAAAAGCTGCAATGGTCAATTCGCCAGTCAAGAAGCATGAATACATTCTTGTGGGCACGCAGGGCTCCGTCAGACATACTGTATGCATTTGTTTTACAAAAACTTATCAAATTATCTAGTAGCCAGTGTAATTAAATGCACAGGGACGCAAGCAGGTCCTCTGTGAAGCTTGCTATTTGCGTTTTTCAGAAATTCATGAATATTAGGCATGCAAACCAAAAGCTGTCGAGAAACTTCAGCCTTCTGCAACCCATTATGATCATCAGTGCTTTGTTGAGGTCTAAATTAATTAAAAAGATTAATTCATTCTCAATCAGAAAGTGACCATGACAGATGCATAAGTAGCAGTGCCACTACAATATGGACAAACAGATTTTTACAGATAAACAATGAAATGAGAGATCACTAAGCCTGTACAACTTTCTGCAGTAGATTTTGTTCACAAGATGAATGAATGTGGCACTGTGAGTTGGGATGAATGAAGAAAAAGCACTCTATCGAACTACCGATGCTACAACGAGTTGAAGACTTAAAAGAACACAGCTATAAACAAGCTGTCCAAGCAATGCTAGTGCAATTCAATGAAGTCACAAAAATACGGGGTGCCTCAAATATACAGCAGCCCACAACTAAGGCAGCCAGTTACTTGACAACCACCCTAGTAGCACCAAGTGCTAACACAGCATTGCCACAGTGCTGCCTCATTGTTGCTGCAACATTACAGCAGTAGCAATGCGTGCTACTAGGGAGTTGCGCTCCTCATCACTTCATCATTTTCAACGCTGAGACAAGAAAGGCTGAAAAAGCATGAAGATAAAAAGTTTTAAAGCATACAATCATAGCATCTATTTTGGCTGACTGAAATCAGATGTCATGTAAGTCAACGCACGATGCATCAGCAGAAAAGAAACAGTGGCTTCTGCTGCTTTTATATGGCTCTGATGCAAGCGCTCATCAGCTTTGACGTACAGTACACAAAGATGATGCGGCCCTCTGCAACCACACGAACAAGTGAGGCCTAAAACAGTGGGATAAAAAAAAGATAAAAAAACTAAAAACTCCAAAAACGAGCAGCAGCAGCAATGACAGACACTACAGAGATTCCTGTAGTGTGAACAGCGGGCGACAGAACGGCGGCTTTGGGCTTTTGTTTCTTTAAAACGAGTGCATCGACATAAGTATGAGCATGGAGAGCGTGCCGAGACATAGACAGAAAGCCCGTCGAGTGCTGCTGTTTATATGCAGCATCAAAGTTCCGTTTTTTAAAGGCACATCTAATCTAGCGAATATCAACAGCAAAAGAGCTCGACAAGCGCCCCTTGCATAAGGCTACGGCGAGAAATAAAATTGGCACGCACACTCAACTTGGAGAGGGGCAGAGGGTCTAGCAGGGGGCGCCCTCTGGATATTTTGTACTAGCGCGCCCTCTGCAGGCGAAAATGGGAAAATGGGGGTGGAAAAAACACGCAAAACAATGGCACTGTGCGGCCGCTGAGGACGAAGCCGCCCTTCGCAAGAAGGCACTGACAAAACTAATCTGACGCCAGAGCACAACGGCGACGAAAAAACGAAAGAAAGAAGTAAACAAAGCGGAACCGGACAGCCGGGTCTAGGCGCCACTGCCGACCTCGCCAGTTGCCCCCAGCTTGTCCCTCATATATTATGTTGTTCTGGCTGTACACATGGCCGTATATACAGACGTATGTGTGCAATTGTGTTTGTGTGTTCGTGTACAGCTTAGAGTAAAACAAAAGAAAAAAATGTGTCCCTCTACAAGGAGACGAGCAACGGCGAGAAACGTGATGATGCACACCAGGATTTCTTCCTGGGCGCTACTGGCTCTATGTACAAGTGACAATGTGTTTTACCAAGCTAAATTATTGCCTTAACATGAGCAGGGTGCGCCTCAGTCATAAAGGCTGGGGCTCCCAGTTTGCATAGATTTGTAGCAAAAGTTCATAGGCGTACTTGTTGTTGTGACTCTGAAGACTTGTGGCAACTTCTAAAACTGGCTATGGCCAAGAAGAAACTCAATCGAATAACGGAAAGCTTGCATGCCATTTCTACACAAGATGCCCGGCAACAATTCATTACATAATTTGTGTGTTGTTTGCATGTGTATATGCATTATATATATAATATGTGTGTATAATATGCTATAACGTTGTATATATATATATATATATATATATATAACTGTCTCTAGCGTGGAGCTTGTAAAAAAAGCCCTTACTCCTGTCACTCCTTTTTGAAAAAATGAGCTACAGAGCAGTATGTCTAAAAAGGGCTATGGTACAACAATCAAGTCTCTGCCTATCACAAGAGAAGCAATGCGTCCTGTCTTTCTGGCCTTGGCACCCAAGTCTGGGAAGGATGGGGGACCCCTTGAGCTCAGGACGGCTTAGACGTCTCTTCGGCTTCTCCACTGGCCACCGAGAAGAAGCGCTCTGAAAAGAGGGCAAGAGTGCGTGTTTCACCAAAATGAAGATTGACATCATTCCGTCTGGTCAGGATGATGCATATGAGTGAACGGCACTGCGGCGACCCAAGTAAACATTTGAAGCGCACACAGAAAAAGATGTTTGAGCTTCTATAGAGGAGGCCTGTTCACAAGTACAATGGAAATGTGTCCGAGCAGTTCGCTCCAAGTACACGCAGGCAGCGTGCATGCACTGATGGCCATAGCTTCTGTTGAGAGTGCATGGGACTCAATATAAAGATGTCGTGACAACCCATTTTCTCTAGGAAGAACACATGCCTTTCCCCAGTCAATTGCATGTCCACCTTAGGCACGCTCAGAAAAAGCAGTGGATTCCTTTACACTACCTTCACATCACATCATAACTGTGCTGCTTGAGAAGCCTTTCACCAGTTTTGCCAATATACATGTGGTCACAATTCATGGATGGGACAATGTGCACCACACCGAAAGAACATCTTTAAGTAATCAGTAGGCTTGTGGGAATAGTGAATTTTAGGTTCAAATCATATTCAAAGCAAATCGCGATTTCGACGGAAAAATTTCGAATCAAATTCAAATGTATACATTGCATACATATTACAAAAAATGGGCATGTTTGTACTGATTTGAATAACCTGCACAATATTTTTAAAAAATTCAAACAAGGCCTGGGCAAATGCTATTTTTCTGCATCAAAGAGAGTGAAAACAACTTTGTATGGTAGCAGGATTTGACTTTCAGTAGAATGCGAGTGATAGCCGGTAAAGTACGTTATTTTTTAAAATTTGCTAAATTTGGAGCGCATAAGTTAGTATAACAAGCTTTTAACTTCAAAAATGAATCGATGTGATGATAATATCGCCAGTTACCATTGAAGATTAACATAGGCTTCCCAGCAGTGCAGATTTCCCCTGATTATGTGTTTTCACTAGGCTTGTCTGAATAGTGAATTTTAGGTTCAAAGCCAATTCGAAGTGAATACAGTGAAAACTCGTAAATTCGAACTTGAATAATTCAAATTTATGAATAATTCCAACTGTAAGTTATAGTCAGGCCAAGCTCCATACAAGCCTATGAATAAAAAAGCCCGTTAATTCAAACGCGAGTAGGTTCCGTCGCGGATAATTCAAACTACGTGCCACCGTGCCGGCGGCTTGGCTATTCACTCGACAGGGAGGCTGCCGAGTTATGAGGCGGCGTGGACAGGAAGCGGAGAGAAAAACAGAGAAACTGGCACGGAGGCCAGAGTGCAGAAAACAGCGCCACTCACTCTTCACCCCCCCTCCTCCCACAATCTCTCTCTCTCGGCGGCGGCCAGCTCTCCGTTCTACGTAACCTCCAAGATTTGTTTTTTTTTTAGAACTGATCTCGGAGCCTTTGAAAATCCTGAGTAGTTGTCGCTGTTAGATGGCATAACCAGCACACGGGTGCGTTGCACACCTCGGTTGTTGGTGCTGGGAGTAGCTTCTGACTGTTGCGATTCTCTGTGTTGGTGTTAGGCCTCGGCTAACGTTTGTTGCGGTAGTGCCGGTAGTAGCTTCCCGTCTATCGGGATTCTGCTGCTCCGACTTGATGGCATGTGCCCGCGGCAAATACCGTGCCAAAACACTTCAGGAGAAAACTGATATCCTGCCGGAAGTGGACGCCGGACTCTTGCCTAAGCAAGATATCGCGAAAAAGCAAGGGATACTGAAAACGACGCTATCTACTTATATAAAAAATAGGAGGACTATTGAAGACGCCTTAGAGGCAGAAGTTGCGAGCAAAAGAAGAAGGTTACGGCCCGCAAAGTATCCTGACCTCGAGAAAGCGCTTTTCATTTGGATAAAGGAAATGCGTTCGCAGGACATACCACTGAATGGCCCAGTCATACTGGCAAAGGCAGCGAACTTTGCCCTGCAGCTAGACTACGACGGCTTCGCTGCTTCAGACGGGTGGTTGCACCGTTTTCGCGAGCGCTACGACCTCGTTTTCCGTGCTGTGTCGGGTGAAATGAGCGCTGTCAACATGGAAACGTGTGAAGGTTGGTGTTCCGAAGTGCTTCAAGGCTACATAGAGAAGTATTCTCCGCAGGACATATTTAATGCGGATGAAACTGCCTTATTTCTCAAATTGCTGCCCGCCAAAACTATTTCGTATAAAGGCGACAAGTGCACGAGAGGGAAGAAAAGTAAAGAACGGATAACCGTGATAGTTGCTGCGAACATGACCGGGACCGAGAAGTTGCCTCTGTTTGTGATAGGCAAATCGAGAAGTCCTCAAAGCTTTAAGAACATCCGGTCTCTCCCATCAGGCTACGCGGCCAACAAAAGGGCCTGGATGACAGGGGCATTGTTCGCGCAGTGGCTGGGGAAGCTTGGCAAGAAGTTCGAACGCTGTGGCCGCAAAGTCCTGCTCCTTGTGGACAACTGTTTGGCTCACAAAGTCAACGTTTAGACGAAGGCCACTGAGCTGGCCTTCTTTCCAGCAAACACGACAGCAGTACTGTAGCCCATGGACCAGGGTATAATTAGAAATTTAAAATCATTTTATCGGCGTCATATGTTGGAACAAATTATTTTGCGCAATAACTACCAAGTGACGCTCCTAAGTGCACTACACATGCTTGTGCGTGCTTGGGAGCAAGTGACAGCTCTTACGATAGCAATTGCTTTCACCACTGTGGCTTCAGCACCGAAGCTCTGCAAGCTGACGAGCCACTAGTGCTCAAACACGGTGTCGCCGCCCCCATGGTGGACGTTTTGGAAGACTTCTGCTTTGTGGACTACGTCGATGTGGACTCAAGTGCAGTGGTGTGTGTGGTGCACTCACGGTTGGCGACATATGTCAGGTGAGAAGTGCAGAACCTGTCGCTGCCAGTGACAATGATGAGGAGGAGGACGAAGCACCAGTGCGGCCCTCTGCTGTGGAAGTCATGGCCGGATTGAATGCCGCCCGTCTTTTCTCAAGTTTTGAAGAAGGCGCAGAAGAGGTTTTCTGCCAAATTCGCTCGTTAGATCAAAAAGTGCTGGTTGTCACCTTCAAGAAAAAAAGGCAGACCGCAATCACAGATTTTTTTCAAAAAATAAATTGTTATGCCCTACTCGCAGTGTACTACTGTTGTTCTTCACTTTCGTTAGTTCGAACTTTCGTTAATTCGAACTGAGGTGGCTTCCCCTTGCGGTTTGAATTAACAAGCTTTTACTGTAGTGATTTTAATAGAATAATTTCGAGTCGAATTCGAATGTTACGTACGACATATGTTAAAAAAAAAGAATACTTATCATGACCTAACTAACCAACACAACATTTCTTTTGAATGAAAATAGGGGCTCTATGCAAATGACATTTCTTTTTTGCGTTCGAAAAAAGTCGAAACACCCTTGAGTAGTAGTTTCGTTAGGATGCGAGTGATAACCTGTAAGATAGTTAACGTTTTTAAAATTTATTATACTTGGAGCAAATAAGCCGTCATAACAAGCTTAATAAAATGAAAAATGGATTTGAGGGTAACGTAATCATGGAGCCAGAAAACATGCTTATTGCTTGACAAATTCACTACCGCAAAGTTTCTAGAATTAGTCTAGTACAAGCGGAGTTCCAAAAATTTGTCACATGCTGCAGTTGCATTCTCTCTTCTCGCCCCGAAGAAATAGCTGGAAGTTAAACAGAGAGAAATGTCATGGCAAAAAAAAAAAAAAAAACGTCACACACACCGGGTGACTTTGAGAACCTTTTTTTTCCCTTTGAATACGTGGCTTTTCAGTGTTATCGCGCACATACTCCTGGACAAGCGGCGGCCTTTCGCGGCGGCCCGGTAACGATGAGCGCGTCATGCTCAAATCAGCCAATGGCTGTGACAAATGATTTTTGAGCTTGTAGTGTCATTGGCCAAGGGAAGAAGGTGATTTTTAGCTTTGAAAATTTATTGTGAATTACAGGCCGCTTGCTGCATTATAATATTTGCCTTGCGAATTCTCGGCAGCCTCGCATACCAATCAGCAGCGATTTCTGACCATGTTCAATAAGTGTTGCAGAGCCCTTTTAAATTTAAATGAGGGCTTCACGGTGCTTTCACGGCTTAGCACTCCTACATTGCAGTGAAACCACCTTTATAGGCAGTAACAAGCGGACTAATATACACCTATTCATTCATTGTGAATACTTAGAAAATATTCGATAACTTAAATTCGAATCGAAGCGAATTCGAATACTTAACTCTACGAATATTCGAAGCATTCGAATTTTCACACAAACCTAGTTTTCACAGCTTAGCACAACTTCAATGAAGCAAAACCACTTTTACAGGGAGATTACATTTGAACTAACATACCTTTGAATAAATGCTTTTACGGCTTAGTACTGCTTCGCTGCAGCGAAACCACCTCTACAAGATGTCACATGCGGATTATTGTGCATCTATCCTTTCGTTTCGAATGATTCACAATTTTTAATAACTTTCAATATTATAATATGAAGCGAATTCGAATAAGCAATTAATCAGAATCATTCGTTAGAATATTTGGATCACTCGAATATCCGCACAAATATAGTAATCTATCCTTCACACTGACCAATGACTTTTGCAGTTTCTGGTCAGGAACATGTGCCCCTTGGATGCTATAGGCTTGCAAAATATGGCTTAGGGCTTATGGTGACCCCTGCTCGTAACTGCAGCGGACGATCACCGCAGGTTCACGCTTAGCGAGCCACAGGGCCGTTACTCCGTTTACTCGCGTGTAGCGCACCGCTCCGCGCGCGCTCAACTGATAAGGCGTTTAGCGCGGCGCGGCAATCAGACAGTGTTCTAATGTAAAAGTACACAACACTTTATTGCCTCTGGCGGCACCCCGAACAACAGTACAACGTCCGCTCCCGGGACGCGGGTAGCAAAGGCACCTGCACGCGGACGATCACAATAAGGGGAAAACCGCGAGCACGTCGCAGCTAGCAAAGGCGAGCTTTGACACGCCGGTCGGGAAAAGGTCCCTCGCGGCTATGCTGCGCACTCTCACGATGGCCACTGGGCCTGGTCGCGAGTGTTAGGGTAAACCTCGTACGCGTAGGCCTACGGCAAGTGCGGCTCGTTGTGGTACGACCACTTCAAGCACTGGACACCGCTCTGGGCTTAGCGTACGCTACCGAAGCCAGCACTCAAGTAAACACGCCTGCCGGGGTGCCCAAGGCCACCCCGGGCAGGCTGCAGTCCGCGATTCCCAAAGGGGACGCGGACGAAGGAAAACACGTGCTTACCCAGCACCGTCCACGGAGAAGAGAACGCTCCCTCAGCGCGCGCAGTGGCGCCATCTATCGCCACGTGGTGTTAACAGAGCAGGAAAGCAAAAGTGTGTGGCCGTGTGGCGGAATGCCCGCGAAATGGTTGCGGGCGCGCCTCAGATCCCCACATCCTCCTCTCCTTAATTCACCCTACATACCGGTCTGCAAAGGCAGCCGGTCGTCGCCCATGCATGCAAAGGCGTCATGCAATGGGCAACAGCTAGCCTCAGCCTCGCTCTGCAACTGCTGCTGAAGAAAAAAAATAAACACACAAGAATACACTTGACAAATACATGGCTCCGCAGAAGAGGGGTAACGGGAGTTCATGATGCTCACGCAAGAGCGCGTCCACGGCTCGGAAGGGCAGCGTCACGTAATGTCTGACTTGGGTGATTGCGTGGATGCGAGAGATCAAGGGGAGGGTTCTGGTTGAGGCCTTCATGCGAGGAACGGGCTCACCTTCGTCTCGTCGATGTTGACGACAGCCCTGCGAGTCCGACGAACGCCGCCTCGGTGGAGGTTCGGATGGACCTCGCTGCGACAGCCGGCCCTTCTGCTGGAATAATGGTCGCCAAATCCATTGGCTGCGAGGCGTCCTGCAGCTTCGGTCGAGTCGTGTACAGCGTCTGCGACAGCTGGCCTCGTGCAGGTCTCCGAACACCTCCCGAGTCCAAAGTGGTGTAGGGGTCGGTGACTTCCTAAGTCGTCGCCACACGCACACACGCTCACACACCTCCGATGGTCGGGTCTCTCCAAACGCGCACCGCAAGGGAAGCGCAGAGTGTCATTTGACCCACTGCCCACGCTAAAGCACCAATTCACAATCCCCTCCTCCAGCGAGAAGGAAAAAAAAAGAAAACACGAAAAAAACATCAAGTAAACAACAACACTCAAATGACAATCAGCAGCAGTAACTGGGCGGAACCGACTTCTTTGCAAGCACTGGCTGTAAAGAAGTTAGCTAACTGAGACTAGAAAGTAAAAATGAGGGCCTTCGGTTGCGGAAATAAGCCCGCCGTCCGGCGGGAAGTCACTAAGGCGACGGCTTCCTCAGATTATATCGGTGCGTGGTCCGAATGCGGGTCCGCCGCGCCAGGCGTACGCCGTTGCTTGCGCGAAGAGCCAGTGGGTGCTGGCGCAGGCTCATCAGACCTGGACGCAAAGGCTTTCGGGTCTGCGATGTGGGCACGGCTGAGTTTTCCCGAAAGCGGGTCTTTCAGCAAGTACGCGAGTGGAGTCCAAGCTTTTTCCACTCGGTACGGACCAAGCCACTTTGGAGCGAGCGAAGTTGAGAAACCCTTGCTCGCATCGCTAAGAGCGTGGTTGCGCTTCAGGACGAGGTCACCCACCTTAAATGAAAGGGGGCGACGTTTTTGGTTGTACTGGGCCTTTTGCTCGGCCCTGGCCGATGCCAAACTCTGCCTCGCTCTACTGAGAGCTCGACAAAGCCTGTCCCGAAGTGTGGAAGCGTAAGCAGAACAGTCTGCCGGTTCTTCCTCGTCTCCGAGCTGGCATTGCATGACACTGGTCACTGGATTTGCCAACTCCCTTCCGAAATTAAGGAAGGCGGGAGAGAAACCAGTAGAGCGACTCTCGGAGGTTCGGATTGCAAACGCGAGTTCACTCAAATGGTCTGCCCAGTCCCTTTGACTTTCGGCAAAGGCCGCCAACATCGGTTTGAGCGTATGATTGGTTCGCTCCGTCAAATTGGACTGGGGATGGTAGGGCGAAGGGGTGCAGTGATCTATTCCTAGGGAACGGCACGTATCACCAAACACCCGAGCGGTGAAATACGACGCATTGTCCGTGATCAATCTTTTCGGAAAGCCGAACTTTTTCTTTTTTTCTTTTTTTTCGTGGCATTAAAGCCTTATAACTCAAGTTGCAAATGTCTTCGTCAGTCTCGACAACGATTATTTAAGTTGCCGTGATTACCCGAACCTTATCCCTCACAATAGGCTACAACGTACTCGTCTCAGCCATTCTTGCGTTGAGCGAGAATAGCACCAAGGCCGGCACCGCTTGCATCCGTGTGAATTTCAGTGGGTGCAGTGTGATCGAACTGGCGGAGAACTGGCGGAGACGTGAGTAGCCGGCGCAACGCCGTGAATGCGTCATCGCAGTGGGAATTCCAGCCAGAGAGGTCCACGCTACGGGAGAGAAGCTGAATCAGGGGGGCA